CAGAGCAGCAAGAGACCTCGAACATCCCACGCATTCTGAAGCAGTTCTTGCATCAGATCTCATCAGGGCATCTCCTGGCACCTGACAGACCATCACAGATACAGTGCCCATATCCATATTCAGATGAGACCATTTTGGATCATATCTCTGACATGCCATTTTACCTGCCATATCTTGCTGAGAGTTGCATGGCAATGTAGGATAAGTAGGTTAGAGTGTATTGCCTTTCTGCAGTATCTTTTTCACTTTAGCTGGACCAAGATTTAGTAAAGGGTCTTGTGCCTATTCAGCGCATTTCAGGCAAAACTGATGTGCTATGCTAAGGTTTCTTTTTAGACTTAACAGAGCAGCATATCCTAGCAGATAATCCAATACACTACTGCAATACTAGTCATATAGAAGAGACCAGTAAGAACAAAAGAATAAGGTGCTAAAAAGCATCAACCTGATGCTCATACTGACCTAACCACCCATGCAAAATGTCTTCTTGCTCAAGTGCCCTTGCAGAATTTGATAGCGGCCCAAAAATATAATACCATTTTTGATGTTCTTATTTATTGAACTGAGAGAAACTTGGTGAAAACTACAAACGTTAATATGTGGAAGCCTTTAGAAAAGCATTCAGGTTGTAAAAGATCTTCAGCATGACTGGTTATTACTCACTTAAAAATAAAAAGCCAGAAACAGAGCCCACAGCAATTTGGGGATTTTAGGGAAAACTTAGTGGGAAAATAAGTAGGGATTTTTAGGGGAAAAAAGTTAGGGAAAGGTGTCAGAAGTTACTTTTTCTGTGGCACTAACTGACATACTCAGATAAGATAAAGAGTACCTGGGGTGCTGACAAGTTCACATGCAGCATAGAAGGGAGAAATTGCCTTACATATCAAGAGTGTAAGATGATGGAGAAGGGGATGAAGAAAGAGGAAAGAACACATATAAAAATCACAGTCATATCATTATAAAAAAATGGAGAGAAAAATCATTTGATTTTCATGCAGTCTCCGATTTGCCAGCTGTTCAACAGATGCTGTTGGAGATTGTCACACCAATGAGACTTCGAAGTTAAAGTTCAACAGCCTAAAGACCATGAAATGATCTTTTCCCAAAAAGATGTAATCACTCAGACTGCAGAATTAACTATACTCCTCTCTAAAGAGGATATCAAAGGGATTACAAGGCAACAAATGCTCTCACTTGCCCTGGAAACAACACACATTCAGAGTAGCTTTTAACTGAATATCCACATTTATGAGCAACGTTATGATGAGTGGGAAGGTTGCCAGTTCGACGACCCCAGAACTGAGAGCCACCATGAAATTGCTCCTTCACATCATTTCTCTTTTGTTTAAAGTCCCAGCTTAGCGTCTCATGTACAGCTTGGGAACTTTCTGGATGGTACCAAGGAAGCTACCTCCACAAGACAAATAAAGAAATAAATAAATAAGCAAACAAAGAACAAAGATGGAGGATACAAAATCTAAGGCTTTGAAAACAAAGGCAGGTAGAAATTGAGTTTGCAGAAAGCTTAAGCTTAGTGTGGTAAGTAACCCAGCACTTGGGCAACAGAATGTTACCTTTATATACTGAGACACGCACATGAAGGAGCCTGCATACACAGATCTGAGTACAGAAGATGCTACATTAACATCTGCTTGAGCCAGCCACAGGGCAAGTCTCACACATACTAAGCTACTCTATTTACAAATGGATTGATAAGAAAATGATCTTTTCGAACAAATGATCTTAAAAGTAAGCACCTTTTAAATAATTTTGAATGAAGCCATTACAATAAAAATTAGTAAGCAGCAAATCTGAACAGGTGTGAAAGGATGACTTGAACCTTTTTCCAAACTCAAGTGGAATCTTTTTTTCCTGCTCTTTGGAGACATTAGGGGAAATCATACAATAGGGACCTATCTGGCACTTGTAAGACAATTAACAAATGAGCTCTAGAAGAGACCTTCTGATGGCTAACATCTGTGATGTTACCCCACGCAATCATAAAAATTATCATGGTATTTTGACTTCCTTAGAATCTTTAAATATCCAAGATCCATTTGGAATTAAAATACAGTAGCAAAGATTTCTTTCCTAATTTGTCTAGCATTATGGGAATCATCAGTACAACATGAAAATCTGTTCTCAGCAAATATCTAGGATGACACTGCAAACTCTAAATGTCCAGACAATCCAAAAAAAATCAATACACTTGAGGGTTTCTTTAAGCCTTCAAATATATAATCAGGAAAGAACTTCACTAAAATAAATAAATAAATAAAAATCTATGCTGCTACCTGCACTTGAGACAGTAAAGGATGCAGCACTTAAACCAAGTAATGATTTTGTAGCATTTCTTATTACTAGTCATTTTACAGCATCTCAGTTTATTGCATACATAATGGGCAGATGTGTGTTGTCATTAAATTGCTCTTAGCAAACATTGCCATAAAGGTACTTGGCAGATAATAAAATGGAATGCGAAGCTCTAGGCTCAGGATCAGCATTACCAAGAGCAGATGCATTGCTGCTCACAGACAGTGTGTCACAAAACACAGATAAAGTCTGGTTGCTCAGGAGTGAAGTATCCATCTGCGAGCAGACCAGATGGGAAAGGATACTGGTTCCAGCCCCCAGAGAGGAGAACTAAATGGTATGTCCGGATCTTAGCAATTAACTTCAAACATTTAAAATCTGAACCATGGTGCCCCTTATTTTGATCCTAAATGACTGGCAGTTTCATACAAACCTGCATTTTCTGATCTTATTACCAACCATATATTTATCAGAAAAAAAGTTCAGCCAGGCGATTTAAGTAGTAGAAAGAATTAAAGAGTCAGTAAACAACATTTGATTTTCATTGGCCTGGACTGTTGCCTCTGTAGTTCTTCTTACAGTGTTCAGGAGAAAGAAAGCATGCAGAAAGCTTTCTAGCTCAGCACAGGACTAGATCATACCACCCTTCTGAGCCCATGGTATTTTCACTGCTGCTACAGAAAATGGCTAATCTAAATCCCGTGCATGTTTCTCTCCTCATGCTTGCTTACTGCCAAGGCTTTGGGATTCTTTTCAGAAAACAGTATGGGTTGTAAGGAGATACTGTCTCATCACAGCAGAGAAGTACTTCATCCTCCATGAGCCAGATTTCAACTTCCACATCTAACACTTTCATTAAGTGCAATTACCAGGGGGCTGCAGTGCCCTAACACTGAAACCAGATGGCACAGAAGACAGTAACTAGCTACAAAACATGAAACTACCTTCACAGTAGCTGCACCCTGCAACCCTTCTTGTTGGCACATCCTTACATGCACCTTAAACTCTATTGACTTATGTGTGAGAAGCTATGTCACATGCAACAGGAGGAACATGCTACCCACGGGAAGATTCTTTTTGTCACCTCTCACAAAGTCTGCACTATCTCTGATGAGAGGAAAGCATTTGGAAAAACATATTCTTGGGCTTTCAGATACTTTAGGTCCTTAATTTCAAGCTAACAAGGCACCAAGGACCTGCTAGGACAAGGTACTCTAGAAGAAAGTTGTGTTGCAGCAACCATTCTCTCATACTCCTGTTCTCTCTAAAAGCCAAGGATGCCAGAAGAACTAAATGCTATCAAGAGTACTGCCTTTAGCCTTTCCTTCCTAAGGGCCAATATAACAACCTCTAAGACCTTATAACCTTAGTATAAATCCTCAATATATGCTTACAATCATTACAAATTTCCATATCAAATCCACTCCTCTGAGTCTGCCATTCATTTCTGAGCAATTCAAGAACTGCCTTTCATTTAGGAGCCTCTCTGGATGGATGAAGTCTTGATCTCCACCATACATATTCTAATCAGATACAAAGAGTGCAGCAGAGCTTGAGAAGCAGATAAAGATCATTACCACATACATCTCAGGTTTATGCACACCCAGTTATATACAAGGACTTCTTATGACCAAGAATTCCTGGACCTATTGCCTATCCCAATGTCTCACACTCTGATCTCTGCTATTTGTGGAGACTCACTCCATGTAAATGTGATTTTGAAACCAAGCCAGTGGTAGAGCAGCACATGTCCAACGACCATTGACCAGCACAAGCACAAAACTGAAGCACAGCACAGGTATGTCCTGCTGTGAGTACAGCCAGCCCCTGTGGGTAGGATAGAAACCTCTTTTGTCATTACTGGGACACAATAACACTTCTCTGACAAAAGATTTCAAATTCTGCAGGTTAAGAAAACTGGGAGTGAGTTTTCTCTCTCCTAGAAACCTAGAGGAAGGCCTTATGCACCTGACATCTGCTTATCCAGATATATCTTCGTTTTCCACCTTAAACTTTAAGGGTGGATACAAGGTACTCAGAGCATTACCTACAGGAAGGGTTTTATCCTGTGTGTCATTTTTTTTTCCTTTATTCTTTGCCTTATACCTCTATTTAATGCAATCTGGTAGCCTTGGCAGTGTGTCATTATCAATTCCTGTCCAGTGGAGAGAGCTACCTTCCAGTGTGCAGCACTACTGAGTTATCAGATCAGAATCTCCACGTGATCAGCTAAACAAGTCAGGCAAATCAACCAAAGGAGTCAAGCAGATCATGGAACTGCTCTGAACCTCCCCTGAGAAGCATCTACTTTCCTCAGCTGACTGCACAGGGAGCTTTGGCATTCAGCACAGGCCCCTCAAATCAGTGCCAGGCTTGGCACTTTAAGCTCCCAAAAAATAAATCTGAGGCATCTAAACAAAAGGAAGTAAGAAGATTATTTTAATTGAGTTCATGCCACTTGCATGCTGTCATGTAACAATGGGACAAAATAGTTCTCCTCAAGGTAGTGGCTGGGAAACTCATGTTTTCAGGAATCATCTAATCCATTGTAATCTAAGAGAGAGAAGTGTTGAGTTGACACAGATATAGCCAGGACACAGGCAGGTTTCACGTGAACACTGGATTTTGTTCTGGTGCTCCTGTACCCCTTCGGCTCTACGTAACTGAGGTCAGCAAGCCCGGCTTACCTCGCTCGCAGGTTCTGCCCCAATAGCCAGTGCCAGTGCAGTCACAAATGAAGCGGTTCCAGCCGTCCTTGCAGAGCGCGTTGTTTTTACACGGGTAGCTGTCGCACTGCTTGGTGCTGAGGCGGGAGCAGGAGGATTTGACTCCTGCTGCGTTCTGGGCCTCTGCCAGTTGCCGGATGTTCTTGCTTCGGCCGTCGATGAACAAGTCTCGGATACAGCCGACGTAGCCGTAGTTCAGCATCGCTGTCCAGAGCTCTGTGGGGAGGATGAGTCCTGCCCGGTTCTCAGGGAGGCCACCCAGATACATGTCACCTTCCAGGTCCAGGATTTCGCTTTCCCCACTAGCAGTGAACGGGGTGCGTCTGCTGTTCACAGATATAGTACCTAAGTAAGGAGGATAAGGAGACATCAACCATTGCTTTCACTTCAAGCCTCAGCCTAGTTCATGGCTTCCAATAGCTGAGTGAGGTTCAAAGGCCAGTACAAACAACTGAAGATTTTTCTCTACACAAACACACATAGTCCCTTCCACACAGCTTCCCCTCCTCTTGAGCTAGATTTCACATAAACAGTGGATAACTGGGGTCATAGTGCTCCCATGTAGTGACTGGGTCATCATGTGTTGGTATCCCAAAAAAAACACTAGAAGGTCACTAGCATAACAATGCAAGGGATAAACAATAACATACAAAAAAATGAGCATTATTTAATGGTATTCACCCAGCAAAGCAAAAATGTGCTGAGAAAGCACTGCAATTTGATGGTATCAGAACTGGATAGGAAAAAAAGACAAAAAAAATTACTAAGTCACACTACATAGCTCTAACATGAAATATTTCATCAAGTTGGACTTGAACAATGGGACCAAATGGACCTTTGTCAAGTTTGTAGGTGAAGGTTGATATATTAGAGGAAGGACAGGGCAGAGAAACTCTGACAAGCTGGAGTAATGGGCTGATAGAAATCTTCCCATGTTCAACAATGATAAACACAAAATCTCACACCTGGGACACACAAACCTCTCACATTCCTATAAGCTGCAGAACAACCAGCTAAGGAGCAACTCTGCAGAAAAGGACTTGAGGATCTGTTGAACAACAGCTTGAACATGAGTCAGTTGTGTGTACTTGGAGCAACAAGAGACTCTGATTGCAATTTGCAGGAAGGGAAATTCCAACTTCGGAGAACTAGAAATATTTCACCATGAGGTCAGTCAGACACTAGAAGGGGGGCTCAAAGAAGGTGCAGAATCAGCATCCTTGGAGATGCTCACATCTGAAACGTGCACAGTCCTCAGCAACCTGTTCTAGACTTTCAATGAAGCCCAGATTTCAGCAGAATTTGGGGTAGAAACCTCTAAGGGTTTGTTCAAAAACAAATTAGTCCACAGTTTTACGAAGCAAGGTATCTGAACTTACTGACATAAAGAAAGACGAAAATCATGTCTGAAGAAGAGCTGTTATTAAAACTGTAGTATCTTCCATATGCTCTACACAAGATGTAGGTATACTGCATTCAAGTTATTTATACACATTGCAGGAAGTTATCCCAGCACAGAAAATAATTAGAACATGCAACATAAAAATATAATTGGAGTACACAGAATAGGTGCAGACTGACTTGTTTACGTTTAGGTAACATATCCAAAGGAAGCCAGGAACCCAGGGCTAGTCTCTGTCTTGGTCCCAAAACAACACGTTCTTCTGAAGCGCATTCTGCAGGTGTTGTGATAGGGACCTCTGCCCACCAGACGCTCGGCTGAGGATCAGCAATTCACTCTCCCAGTCATCACATCTGATTGCTTTGCCATTGCAATACCCTGCCCCCCAGATACTACTGTCCATGCTTTAAGATTAATTCCAAATCATAGCATTTTTATCATAAATCGCTATGACAGTGGGGGAGTTTAGTAGATAGAGTTGGCTCTCTTTTGTGCCTCTGTAAGAAAATGCAGTCATGTACATATGCTCTTCTCTTCCTTCAGTTGTAATAGGGGACTTTTTAGCTAGAGAACAGAATGTATGACACAGAGACAGGTTATTTCCTGCATGCAATGTTCAGTAATAACTTAGAAATAATGTCAGAAGCAGCAGAGTGTTGGAAGTAATCGAGGTGTTACAAATTAAGGGCTCAAAGAAAGCAAGGGCAGTTTGATGAATCATTTTGTAAAAATAAGCTGTACTGCTGCAGACATTTTCCCTTTTAGATGGTAAGAAAATAGAAGACATGACAATACACCTACAGTCATAAAAGCAAGTGTCAGAGGCACAGGATCACAGCCATCCTGCCTACATCTGGGCTGCCACTCCTGCAAAGCTGTTCAGCACATGGAGCACACACTGCCCCGAAGGATCAACACGAATGGAGTTGCTGGAGGGTTGAGCTCCAGACAAGTGCTACCGTAGAGAAAATATGAACCATGTGCAAAAGCCACAAGGGTGAAGAACCTCCTTTTGTCCCCCACAGAAAAAATACCAGAAGGTTATGGCAAAGTGCAAAACCTGAAGCCGGACAGGGGAGAAAAAAGACTAGCCATCGGCCCAACTTCCTGCTAGTGTTTTACAAAATTTCTGTAAAGAAATAATACTAGCTCCAATGCATAGGACTTTTTAAACCAAGCTGTTGGTATAGAAAAAATATAAATTGACCCTTGGAAGAAGGAAAAAAAGGCAGCACTAAAACCAGAGCTGATACACAAAAGAGTACAGCGAATGGAACTGTACAGTGAATCTTCTAGTAAGATTTTAGTGTCCAAGTGGGTGGGATAATGTGTGGGTTTTAGTAGATAATCAGCTGAAAATATTTTCTTGTGTAACATGCGCAGTGTTCTCCAGCTAGAACCAGTCACAGGCTTTGCGGACGCTTTGTAGGAGCTTACTGCAGGGACAGAAAGTTTACAGGACGCCAGGCACCTGTGTCCCAGCTCCTGTCAGCGCACGGAGTAAAAACAGCTTGTGTAGCGCTGGCAGCCAGCACAGACAAAGCATACACAAAGCCTAAGGGGACTAGATACGCCAGGGGTTATGTGAGCAAGACTGTCACACTTCCCCAGCATTTGTGCCTTAGTGTTCTGGTGTTTGTGTCTTCATTCCTCGCAGTATTGAATATTCAGATTTTTAAACCATTTTGCTAAGCTCAGCAGATCCTGATGCTTTGAACTGCTTCAGAATTGGGAAGAAAGAGGGGGGCTGACACATAATAAAGGATTAGATGCTTTGCTAGTAAGAATCAGAACATGTGCAGGGGGGTTGGACTAGACAACGTCTACAGAGGTCATCTACAGACAATCTTCCAACCTTAAGCTTTCTATGATTCTATGAACGTCAGTAGCTAAAGCTGAATGGCTATTTTGTGGCCTATGCAAAGCAAGTTCATTATTTCAGCTCGTTTTCTGTAAGGCAGACATCCTGGTTGCAACCATTCTCTGGTCTGCTCATGGGAGAAAAGCCAAGGTCTCAACAAGAAGGGATGCTGAAGTTCCTTATCACATCTACCAAAAACACCACAGAAGAATGGTTGATGCTTGATCAATGTATGGTGTGGAGAACACAATACCAAGTATTCTGGAGAGACAAGAAGACATTAGTCACCAGGACCATTAACTAGCAGAAATTTCAGTAAAAAGTAAAAAAAGGAAAGAAAAAAAGAGAGAACATGCAAATGTGTACATTCTTGTTCAACAAAATGCTTTTCATTCAGATCTGTTATCTCCAAGCAGTGTTCAGACCATTACAAACCCCCCTGTCAGGCAATGAACAAGTCAGCGTTGTGTTCCCCGGCAGCAAGCAGCAATGCTGTCAGTCACACCCTCCCCTAGCCAAACCAGCGTGCCTCCTTCTTTCCCAGCAAAGGGCTTGGTGTCAGTTCTGTTTCTCCTTCTGCTGCTGTCTCTGCAGGGACCAGACAGTATCCAAGCAAGCAAGGAAAAATGAAAGCAGTACTGAACACTACTAATTGAGTTTATCCTTGCAAGTTAATTAAATTTAAGTAATTTTAAAGAAATCAAAGCTCCATTTATTTATTTATTTATGGCTTCCTTTATAAAGTGTTTCTATCGATGTCTTTAGGAGATAGCAATACATAATCATACATATTAAATCCTAATAGAGCTCCATGCCAAATATAAGTAAATTCCTCACATCAAAGAAAAAACTATCTTCAGGCAAAGGCCTGTTCAAAGAGGTAGGCCTTGCATGGTATCTAGAAGTCAGCTCTTTGAAAAACTCAAGGGATGCCAGTTCCAGCAGTGCATTCTCTCCACTGAGAGCATTCTGCCACTAGAAACATAAACTAAATACTCAGCTTCTGAAGAGCACAAATCAAACCCCAAACCTGCTTGCTAACACAAATAAAATTCCCTTTGAAGGGAAAATACGGCCTTGTTTGGAGATCCTAATGTTCCAGGAGGAGTTCAAGTCCAGCTGTCCATGTATTCATAAGTTCAAGTTTCGTTATTTCCTTATTTTGATTCCTGATATAGTTTCAGAGCACATCCTATGTATGTTAGCTTGATCTACAACATTAGAAGCAAACAAAATGTCTCACGGTAATTGCAAAATAGGTGCATTATGAAAAAAAAAAAAAAAAAAGAAGCCGTGAAGAAAAAAAAGAACAAAATTTAATGCAGAAAGAATTGACCACTTCAAAATCGCACGCTGAGATATGTATGCTGAAGATTAATAGGTAAATGTTAATAGTTTGCTTCTGTGATGTGCTACCCAAAGTTCATGCTAAACACCTCATAAAAATCTAACACACCATTCAAATCTTTGTTTTGCTGGGTAAATATTACTCATGTAATAGCCTTTTTTTTTTTTTTTTTGTAAGAAAGTGACCCATTTCTAGCAGGTTGTGAAAGCCTCTAAGAGCCAACATAGAATCTTCAACGTAAAAGATGAACCTTCTTAAGAAAGAGTAATCACTCTACCTGATCTTCCATCTCGTTGAATATCCACATGATACCACTCTCCATCATTGGCTTTTTTCTGAGTGGCCTTCACTTTAATGGTCCCAGAGCCCATGTCGAGCAGCAAGTAGAGGTTGCCATCTAGAAGCTCCACTGCAAAGAAGTCTACCTTTGTATTTTTCTGGCTCCTGGCATCCTTCCTCTCCTGGGGTTTACCATGTGTGAAAAGGATCAGTCCGTTGGGTTCAGTGGTTCGGAAATCAAAAGAAATGGAGCCCATCCTTTTGGTATTCCATTTAGGCAGACTGATATAGGCCTCAGGTGTCTCAAAACTGATGGGATCCAGTGTAGCCACGTTCTCACATACGAATTTCACTTCCCCGTAGATCTTCATCTTAGTATCACCAATCCGTGCCAAGCGAGACAGCTCCAGACGAATGTCGTTATTCTTATAAACAACCTGCCAGACACAAGGAAAAATATCATACATCAATCCTGTATACTGTACAAATACCCCAATTACTTTCAGCCATGGGAGATAAACTTCTCTGGAAAGGCAGTGAGAAGCAGAAAGGAGACCATGCAAGAGTCTGACGTGTTGACAGAAGAAGTCTGAACTGGAAGGGTGCATAGAAACGACTGCAATAGGCTCTCTGTAATGACTATAGATCAGATAAGTAGGCAGAAGAGAATATCTACTGAAGGACAGTGAGAACAGTCTACCATAGGTTCACTATGCTGCACATAAAATACATTTTGCACATAAAATACCTTGTGTGTCTGGTACCATGCTGTTCCACTTACATAAACCACATATGAAATAAATCAAGTATAACTTCCATGCCCACCTCTGCTAGCCACAGCAGGGAAGTGTTTATCACTACTATAATTTCTCTATTATTTCTATTATCCTATTTAACTACTGGGACAAGAATGCTGAATACTGTAAACAATTGCTATGAACTGTTAGTACTGCCCTACAGACCCTAAAAAGCTACAAGAAAAATAGACAAAGACATAAATTTCACCTCTCCAAGAAATCCTAAAACTCTAGTCACAGACTTGCGATGGGCACACCTGCCCAGTTTCACTAAAGAGGCATGTCAACACTGAAGCCTCTGCACATACACACATTCCATGCCTGGACCCCTACACTCTCTGGACCAGAACCTTGGACACCACCTGCCCAGAGGCAGGAACTAGAAAAAGCTGGAATATTTACAGATAGCACTTCCTTCCAGCCACCTTCCTTGCTTCCGAAACCCAGCACTAGCACATGAATCAAGCAAAAGCATTTCTGCAAATAACAGAATTTTGACTGAATTCATGTTCTGCGACACTACTCAAGACTAATTTCTTCTAAGGGGCTACTATTTTAAAATATTTTGCATCTGTTATATCTGGCATATATGCAAACGCTAGTTTGATTACTGTTGCTTTCAAAAAGATAGCAAAATGAGTTGCCAGCAATTTACTATGAAAAGAGATAGGGAAGGATTGTTAAGAAGAGGGATATAGATTGCTAATTCTACAAATATCATATTATATCATCAAATTTAATATCATCAAATATCATCTGGTGCACGGCCAGACTTAAAATAACATGCAGGTGTAATGTTTGGACACACGTTTGTATTACCCAGTCTGAGAGATCATGGGAACCCTATGATCAAACAACACTTCATTGCTGGCATTCTCTAGGCTAAAAACCTGACATCAAATGGAACACAAGTGTATTTCGGATGTGTAATGAACATGCAGTAATTTTTAAAAGGAAAACAACAGAAAGGATGGGGGATAAGATTCTAAAGTAGGTGAAGTAGAGATGAAAAATAAATAAAATCACAGTTCAACACATTGATCATGAATTAGGAATTCCCAGCTAAGCATTAAAAGAGAATTTCTCCATGGCAGCCAGAAAAGCATCAGATATACCTACTCTAAAGGCAAAAGCACCTATATTAAGAGGAAAAGGAGAACGCAATTGTCATCTCCCGTGTCGAGTCACAACACAAACCGTAATTCCTCCCAGCAAATGACAGCATCAACTCACAACCGTTTGTTTTGCTCCAGTTTCCATTAAAACACTCTACCCTTTCTGAGGTACCACTTAAACTCAGACAGAGAATGGATGCAAAATGAATCATACTTGACAGCATTTCCAACCGCTAACCACTTCTTGATACCCTAGGAAGGATGTCATCTGAAGCAGGCTGCCACTGTTGAAGCAATTCACATGGCCAGCATCCCGCTGTTCAGATGCTCCCAGAAAAAGAGCTCCTCTGGGAGCCATCTAAAATTGGTCTGGCAGGTACAAGCAGTCTAAAGGTTTTGGCATGAGCTTCAGATTGTATTTTTCCGAATCTGTAATTTCCTGGTTGTGTTGCAAACTCAACACTTCCTCTTTCTACCAGCTTTCTTAGGTGGGGGCTGTCCTTTGGACATAACAATGTGAAGTGAAACTGTGCCACTAATCTGAGTGATGTGTAAATAAATATATATAATAGACATACAAAATATGTCTTACATGTCTAACAACATAAAATGACATCTGCTTCTATTTATTCATTTAGACTTAATGGCAAAGGGAAAATAAAATTCTTAACTATTTCAATGCTTTATGAAACAGACAAAAAGTTGTTCTATCTGATAAACTTATTTAATACAGGATAGGATCTCAAATTCTCTTGTATTTCATTAAATTCTAATGGAGATTTGACATGTATAACATCATGAGTAAAAACAGAAAAGAAAAAGTGTCACATCACTCAAAAGTGTCACATCAAGGCAGGAATTTTTGTTCAGATTAAAATTTGTTTGGGTTACATTTGGGCAAAGCTACTTAAATATCCTGATTTCTGGAACTCCAAGTAAACAAGATTTGACATTGCTTGACATTTTTAGGATAAATATCTAACAAAGGAAAAGGGGTTAAGACAGACTCAGCTTCCAAGCTGTATTTCTATATTACAAAGTGCGGAGGAAAAAAAAAGAAAAAGGCGGGGGTGGGAAAAGAGGGAGTGTGAAAACGAACACCCTGAGCCCATCAACCTGGTCTGTCTCTCTTGCAGGGATCATGCAGCTCACAGCAGATGAGCTGTGAGCTTACCCAGCTAGCGAAGAAATCCAGTTGCATCCAGACTACCTGACTACCATGAATTTGGTGCAACACTGCAATTTGGTTTGAGGTTTCACCTCGGCATTGAATTGCTTTGGTGGGCAGAATACCAGGCCCGGACAAATTGAGACACTTTGATGATCCTAACATGGCAGAAATGCCCCTACAGTACAGAACTACTGACAAGTGATCAGGCTGTTCTTGAAACTCCTCTAACTTGTATCAAAAAAATGTTGCCCTAACTCCCCCACGAATCAGAGGAAGAGAAATAGCACAATAACTACATATGATAGTTGGTGCTGAAGTTGTATTTTAGCTATGGCTCAGTGATCACTGCAAGGTCCTGCACCTGGGGAGAAATAACCCCAGACACCAGTACAAGCTGGGGACCGACCTCCTGGAGAGCAGCTCTGCAGAGAGGGACCTGGGCGTCATGGTGGACGACAAGTTGACCATGAGGCAGCAGTGTGCTCTTGTGGCCAAGAAGGCCAATGGGATCCTGGAATGCATTAAGAAGAGCATCTCCAGCAGGTCGAGGGAGGTGATCCTGCCCCTCTACTCAGCACTGAGGAGGC